CACGCTTGTTGTCTAATCAAAGGGTGTGTTTATTTATCTAAGCTATAGGCTCACAGGACAAAAGAAAAGAAAAGAGACTCGATAGAGCATCGTCGCTCTATGCCTACGTATTCCCTCGTGCAATGGGAATGTCAGAGTCAACGTAGTTCGTAAAACTACGGGTGAAAGGTGGGGAAGGTTGCTCACCAAGACATCGCCGTCTTGTGCCTACGTATCCTCGTCTGGTACGTGAAATCAGAGCAAACGTAGTTCGGGCTAACATGACCACAGGTTGGTTCAAGTGTTTTAACTGAGTAGGGTTAAACCTTCGTTCTAGCAGTTAGTTGTGATACCTGTTTGCAGTAGAACCAAAGCTTAACAACACTCTTTTCGAAAATGGTTTTCCATTAATCCCGAAGGATAAAAAAATGTTTGGTGTTTTGTTTGTGTTTTTTAAACAAGAAGTGGATTGAGTTAAATTTGTAACTCATGTTGCACTAGACACTATGACTTGAGAATGAATGCGTCACATATCGCCCCCAAACGAGACGTACACTAAACACTCTAGACAAGCGAGAGGAGACCCTTCACTCATCATTTCCCATGTGCTTAAGGCTCGTAGCGTACAACATTTATTGTCCTTTATTAAGTGTCTTAAGATGTTTGGAGATGAGAAGAGAAGACACACTCTAAAAGACAGACTAAATTCAACCTAATGTTATCATGCAAGGTGCTCCTAAAGTTGAGTTGATAAGGCAAGACTACCCTAATGTTAGCTTGCTTCGATTGAACACCTAATGTCTATATTACTCCAATTGAATTGGGATAAGAACCCTAAGGGATCATGGCAAAGAAACCAAGAAGAGCACAAAGCAATTCAATCACAAATAAAAGAAATGCAAGCATGAAATGCAACACAAAGCAAAGAGGGAGGAAAATAGTGCGGGGAAGCAGCCACCACAAGCACGTCTCAACCTCTTGAAACCAAGCAAGAAGATGAAAAGTAAAAGAGAAATGTAAGAAGGCAAGCAAACATGAAAATGCAAGCACAGAAGATGCGAGGATGAGATGAAATGGGAGAAGCGAACTCCTACGACCATCGACCATCAATCGTCGAAGAAAAGCGAGAGGAAAAAGTGTGGGACAACAGCCACCATAAGCACATCTCAACCAAGCTCTCCAAACTCAAGCAAAACCAAAGATGAACATCTCTTTGAACAACAACTATGAAAGTGTGCGTTCAAGTGGAAATCAAATACGCGTGTCGAAGAAATCACGATTAAACAACCAAGAACAGCGACACAATATCCAAAACATCTCACCCTTAATGCATCATATTGATCCATAAAGATTCAAAGTGAAATGATACCAAACAAATATGGAAAAAAAAGAAGCAAAATAGGCCTGTTGGTACATTGTTAATCGATTAACACCAGGGGTAAACTGATTAACCATTGAAAAATGTTTGAAAATGTGAAAATTCACACTGGTTAATCGGTTAACTAGTTTGCACTGCATCTGGTTAATCGATTAACACTGTATCACCAGCAGAAAACAGCAGCTCAAAAACACTTTTCAACAATTAATCACTTCTCCAATAATCCAGATAATCATATGATCAATTACGCACGAAATTAAACCAGAAAACATTGATCCAATCAATATGTAAACACATCTAAACAGCAAGATCACAATTCACATGAATCAAATCAACCAAAAGTCAATCAAAAATGAAGATCCACATCGAATATGCAAAATAAGCTCAAAATTAGCAATGGATCTAGAATTCTAACCTACGAAGCTGAGAATTGCTTCGGTTAATGTTGATTCAACTCCAATTAAGCAGATCTAAGCAAGAAATCCGGAAATCCTTCAAGATCCAAGTGATTACTTGTAGTAGAAATGAAGATCCACCAAAATTAAGCTAAAATAATCCAAATAAGCTCTTCTAGATCAACTTCAAAATTCAGATCCAAACTAGCACGAAAATTGGATGGAGAAATGGAGATGATAAGGACAATGGATGAAGGTTTTAGCTCTAGAATTCAATGATTCCAATGGAGAATCAATGAATTCCAAGGTGAGAAGAGCTTTAATGGAGTTTGGGAATGGAAAAAGTTGAGAGCAAAATTCAAAGAGAGTGTGAATTCTGAAATGAAATGAAAATTATAAGGATTCCTTGTGTGAGGTTTGGAGTAAATCATTTAAATACCCCTTAGGTTAGGATCCAAATATGGCTTGGAGTGTGGTTTGTGAAAAAATGGAATGGGAATTTGGAGAGAATTTGAAATTAACCAAAATTTTAAGTGGTTCTAGATCCTTCCTCTGGTGTAAAATCAACTTCTCATGTGATCAAAATGGACCCCAAAGTAGCTTTTCTTGAAAATTCACGTGCAGAGCAGAAAATTGCCTTGGTTAATCAGTTAACCATTTAGGTTAATCGATTAACACCTTCAAAACTCAAATTTGGCTTGATTTTACTTTGGTTAATCAGTTAACCATTTGGGTTAATCGATTAACACCCTTGAAATTTTGAATTTGGCGCCTTTTGGAGGGAAAAGTGCACATTTGTCCGTTTTCATCCGTTTTGAGCCCTGTTAAGCCTCTTTTGCTTGCTCTTGAATATTATAACCGTGAGAATGCTTGAGATGGCTTGAGTGTTGCCTCCTGAACTGAAAATAGACTCTGCAAAATAAAATAAAATCGGTCATTCGATCGTCGGGCAAAATAAATGTCGGAGCTGGCGCTCGTTGTTCAGTCTCTTGCACAGAAAAGAGCCCTGAGCCACATAAATGTCTTGATCCCATATCTCAAGAACAAATGCTATGATATGCAAAAATGAAAAATGCATAGAAACAAAAGCCAGTTAAGGTTAAAACGAAACGGCAAATTTTGGGGTGCTACAGTATCAACAAATTTTGTTCCAACATATAGTCTAAATTGGAGTTTCGTCGTTACTAACTCTAATTGATAAGAGTTATTTTGATTCTTCATAGTAGATATGAATCATCCCCGGCTAAGGTAAGGCTATTGTCTCTGCCCCCATGTTTGACCTGGTTGGGGTGGACATCTTTGGGCTTCACCATTCAGATCTTAGATTGGATAGTTCTTAAGAGGGGGTTCCACAACTACGTTGAGAAGAATGCTCTTTAGATGTGGATTCTGCCTTAGAGTGGCATATGCCATCCTGGATGGAATCGTAAGATTCTTTATGGATACAATGTCTTACAATTAGATGATTAATTATTGAAATCGTGCAAAAAAAAACTTTATATAGTGCTTAACTCGTAGATATAGTTATAAGAATATTGGGGTTCCCCATGTTATTCACTTATTCCATGAATTCGTCCGCCTCATTTGTGGGAGGATGGGACAGTTGCTTTCTTTTTAGACTTTGTTTGTCGAGGATCGTTGGATCCCTATCATCTCTAGAAGTAGCTCAGCACTGTAACCATATTTTTCTTTTAACTTATAAAGTATATATATTTCAAACAAAAAAAGTGCATCGCATAGCGCATGCCAATTGAATTGACGACTACTTTGAACAAATAAGAGACAAACCTAATTGAATAGGCGACTGCATCATGCCTAACCAATTGAATTGACGATTATGTACAAGACATAGGAGCAGTCACCTATTCATCTGACTCCTATGTGTTAGATACTTATTTTAGTATAAATAGAGGCGTGTCTTCTACTATTTTTTACACCTCTTCTCATTTTCTTACTCTTTTTTCACTTGTTTTGTCATGAGTAGTAAAAGAAATGAATATGTTTTTTTTCCAAGAACAATGCCGCCTACGAAGATACATTTTTAGGACATCTAGAGTTTCGAGCAACTTGAGAAGAACTTGATCATTTAGTTTGACTGAGATTAACGATGGTGAAAGATTTAGAAGTATCAATAGACTAATTCGTTACATCTCTATTGCGGATGACCATGATATTATCTAGCATAAGAGGGTGTTAATTAAAAATGACAATGCTCTTAGGATACTAGATAATTTTTCAATTTTCAATAACTATAAATATTTTTTTATAACAAGTTTCAAAGGAAAACATAGTTTGAATATTCTTTTATAAAATGTTATTTTGATAATTTCATCCATTTAGATATAATTTTTTTATATTTCAAAATTTTAAGAAATCATTTAAATTTGGAGTTATTTTGAATGATTTTAAAAAAAATCAGTTTTTATAAAAAAAAATTTGAAAAATTATTTGATTTTGACAATTTTCAATAATTTATATTTATATTTATATTATTGAATGTAAAAACTAATATTTTAAAAACAAAAGTCTTCAAAAATATTATTTTTGAAAATTAAAATTAAATTCATTTTTTAAACTAAACAAAGAGATACTTTAATGTGTCATTCCACTTTTTGTTGCAAATTTTTTGATTGGGATTACTACTTGCTCCAGTTTATCCTTTCAAAAACTTAGTCCATTATAAAAGTTAAAAAAAATTAACTCCATTCTAAAATAACAGTCTTATCTTCAATTTTACACTAATTTTAAAAAATGAGAAAAAATAAAATTTATTAAATAATAATAATAATTATTATTTATATTATTATGGTAATATTAACAGGGCATTGGTAATATATTGAGTGCATTGAAAAGATACAATATTCTTTTAAAAACTTTAATTATTTTTATTTTAAGTTTATTAAATATACATTTTTAAAAAAAAAAATTATCTTTTTAATTTTTTAAAGAATATTCGATTTATCTTTTTTATCTCTTACAAAATTAACATTATTATTATTATTATTATTATTATTATTATTATTATTATTATTATTATTATTATTATTATTATTATTATTATTATTATTATTATTATTATTATTATTATTATTATTATTATTATATAATAATAAAAATAATAATTTAGATGATACAGTGGATACAATAGATCCTTCCAAACTCTATAAAAACACATAAGCCCCTAGTTAAAACTCACACACGAAAACAAATCCACTTGATAGTTCAAATCAAAAAATTGAACTTATGCAATGGCTACAAATCAAAAAGAGGTAAAATTATTTGGAGTTGTAGGAAGCCCATTTGTTATGGGAGTTCAAATTGCTCTGAAACTCAAGGGCATTGAATACGAATTTGTTGAAGAAGACTTGCAGAACAAGAGTAAGCTTCTCCTCAAATACAACCCAGTTTATAAAAAGGTTCCAGTTTTCGTTCACAATGAGAAACCTATATCAGAATCTCTTGTGATTATTGAGTACATTGACGAGACATGGAAACAAAATCTAATTTTGCCATCTGATCCCTACCAAAAAGCTCAAGTTCGATTTTGGTCCAAGTTCATTCAAGACATGGTAAACTTTCAATCTAAATTATGTTGGTGTAATAATTAATTAACATAAATGATACTAATTAAAATACTGATATATTTAAATGATCAGATAGTGGCACCTTTATTTAAAGCTGTTCATGCTTTTAACAACGAGAAAGAGCGCGAGAAGAATATATCAGAATCATTTCTTGCTCTTCAGATTCTTGAGAATGAGTTGAAGGATAAGTTCTTTGGTGGAAAAGATATTGGTCTTGTGGATATCGCTGCTATGTTCGTAGCTTTCTCGCTCCCTTTGCTCCAAGAAGCAGCAGGATTTATCGTGTTCACTGCTAAAATGTATCCAAAGCTTTACAATTGGAGCCAAGAATTTCTTAACCATTCAATTGTGAAGGAAATTGTGCCTGCAAGAGAGCCTCTTTTGGTTCATTTCAAAGCTAGATATGAAATCCTTGTTTCTGCTTCAAAATAGATTCAAAATTTTATGTTTGTGAACTGTTTTTATCTGTGATTGAGTTTTTTCTATTAGAATTTCATTTTGATATCATGTTTTGTTTTTCGGGTTTTCTCCTTGAATTTGAAGTTTAATAATATTGTTGTCATTTAGTATCTTTCTATCAATAAAGAAAAGAGCCGGTCACGATTGCAGTCTAAAAAAATCTTTTACAATTTTCATTAGTTTAAGTGTTGCGATACTTGTTGTGACGTCTTTTTTTAGATTATTTAAATTAATATTATCTTAAACAAATACTAAATTAATTGAATTTATCATCATTTAGAAAGAAATATTAAATTATTACCCAAAAAGATAAATATTAAACTAAATACTTAACATTAATTTAATAAATAAATTTATATCTTAAAGCATATGAAAAATAATTTTGCTATAATACTACTATAGGCTTTACAAAATGGCTCATCTTTAAAATCTTTTAGGCTTCTGCATGTGTTAGGTTGACCGCGGATAGACATGATGCATGTATATGGATTATTTTCTATATATAATTTTTTCTCTTTTTATTATTATTATTTTTTTAATTAGTAAATATATATTATGTTTTTTATATACACGGAAATACTTCTATATAAATTGAATTCTAGAAAGAGAAGTGCAATTTAAAAAAATCAATAGTTTTATCTTAACATCACCTCTTTTTTTTATAAATTGAGATAATTCTAGATCCAGGATGTATTAGAAGTACAAGTTGTAGATTTTGAAAACTACATGATCTAGGATTTAGTATAAGGTGTAGGATAGGGGTTCAATATTTAGCGCCAACGTTAGAGTAGTAAATTTTAACGGTAAAAATATATTTATTTGGGTTTATTATAATTTATTGTAATGTTTATTTCACCAAATGTTCATTAAATATATTATATTTTAATCTAATTTAGAAATTAATAATATGGCAAAGAAGTTATTTTAGAAGAATAAATTAGTATGTTCTTCAAACTTTATACAATTTATTATCTGCATTTTCCTCTTTTAAAGAATAAAATTTGTTGCAATTCTTTTAATTTTTCAACTAACACTTACTTCTTTATTGATATGCAAAATATTAATTATTTTGCAGATAAAATTAGAGGTGACAATAAAGTCTATTTAGATAATATTCATCCAATAATTTATCCATTCAATTCATCCATAAGACAAAAAATAATTTAATAGATTTGATCCAATCCATCCACTAACTCATATGGATGGATTCAATCCATCCATCTCATTTTATAAATCAATTGGATATTATGTTATCACTTATTAAATTAGTTAAGAATTTTATAAATCTCATAATGTAAATTTTTCTATAAAATTTAAAAAATAATTCAAAATGTTTAAATTATGTTTCTATGAAATTTAAAAAATAATTAAGAATTTTTAAATTAATTTTTTGAATGGATGGATATCCATCCATTAGAAATATGTTAATGGATGAATTGCATGAATTTTATCTTTTAATGGATGGATTGGATGAGATTTTTATTAAGAGAGTTTAGTGGATTGTTAATGGATTAATGGATTGCTTTGATCCATCTATTAACAATCCAATTCAAATCCATCTAATCCATCCATTTTGCCACCCCTAGATAAAATTAGTAGTGAAAAAAGTAATAGTAGAAAAATTAGAAGTATTAAATCAAATTCTAACTATTAAAATGCAAGGTACAAATAATGGGCTTCAAAAAATCATAAAACATTGATTAATGTACGTAGTTTTCTAATATAACTTAATATATCATATTATTATTTTTTAAATCAATTTGAAAGGTTATATAGTTAGTGAAAGATTGGTAAAACACTCACACCATATACAATATAATAAACTCATATTCTATGATATGTTGACCGAACGAAATGAAAACTACAATGTATAAGGAATAACATTAACAATAATACAAACAACAATTTTTTATCAACAAAAACATCAACATACTTCAATAAAAATATCTAAAATAACACAAACAACTACATTTATAAAAAAACAAATTACCTTAACATTAACAACAACTTACCTTAACAAAACAACAACATTCCTTCATAAAAACATAAACATACCTAGTAAAAAATATCTAGAATAACACAAAATACAACATTTATCAACAAAAAATTACAACTTACCTTAACATAAAAAAAATTTTATCTGAACAAAACAACAACATACCTCAACAAAACTAATAAAAAAACATCTACAATTACACAAACAACAACATTTATCCACAAAAACAAAAACCTGCATTAACATAAAAAGAACAACATACCTAAACAATAACTTAAACCATTTACTTATCTCAACAAAAAGAACAATATAAAAGCTATAATTTCATCTTAACAACAAGAAAACTATTAACTCTATGTTTCACATATATCTTGAACAAGAAAAAAACAAAAACAAAAAAAAAACAAGATAAGTGTTATGAACAACAACAACATTAACTCATAAAACGTTTCACGAACGCACATTTCATAGAAAAGATTCGTGGAGAATGAAGACAAAGAAATGAGCTACTTGTTTCGTCTTGTAAAGATTCGTGATCCAACTCCTTTACTCATACTAGTTGGAGAAGTTATGATGGAATTTTGAGAGATTGAGATAAAGCGAGAGAAGTCAGGGATTCTTTCACTACTATAAAATATACATTCGGTAACATAATATTACCACAGTCATGACTTCCACCATTGTGATATATGAAACTAGATGCATGTAATGCTTATTTATTTTTTGGAAAGTCATTTTATCATGGTTGATAGACACAACTGTGGTGATAGAGTTAATGGTACATGGTTCGAATTCTAGCAACTACATTTTTTTTATTTTTCCTATTACAAAAAGCGTGTGTCACTTAAATTCATAATAAATAAAAAATTAAAGATTATTTAATCACGGATTTAATATGCAACAGTGTAATATCATCTGTGTAACCTTTTCTCTTCTTTAAACAGAGAAACGCTCTTCCCAATTATAATGATGATTGAAAATTTGTTTCATTTTCCAAGACGGTAATAATGTCATTCAAGAATATCAACGATTAGAAGTAATCATTGCAAGCATTAAATCATCAGATCTTTCATGTTCAACCTCTTCTATAAAAGGCACTGTTTTATATAATGAATTTCCACTTCTTCAAAACTATTCTTCTTAACTACATATAGCAACATGAGTTCTTCATCTAAAAATGCTAACAGAAATATATCAACTGAAGTCACCTCAGTGCAACTCCATGATCAACTGTCAACTAAGGGATACACTTAGGGTTAGGAAGGCCAAAAAGAAGAAGAAGAAGTTGAATAAGAAAAATAAAAAAGTGTCAGGAAGATTTGTTACTATCATTCTGACGAGGGTAATGAGGAGAAAGTAATAGATTATGAAGATTCCTTTGCTACTATGGGGTATTGTTTCGACATTGATAAAAGTATGTAATAAAATAATTTATATACTCCGCCATCTTTTTCCTCTTAATGAAATTATTTATTATTGTTATATATACTCTTTCGTTTATATAATATTATTGTTTTACGAAAAAAATAGTACATGTCAAAAAAAAATTGTGAGAGATTTAAACAAAAAATAACAATAACAATAATTAATACCTCTCTCATAATTGGGTTCATAAATAAATAAAAAATTATGAGAGATTTAACCACGGTTTTACTAAGAACCGTGATGAAAAGTGATCTATTATACCACAGTTTTTGTTTGCAACCGTGATGAAAAGTGATCTATTATACCACGGTTGAAAATTAAAATACATAACAAGATACGTAACAAATGTAACAAACGTGACGAAAAGTAATCTATTTCGTGATTCAACATGAATTAGAAACAAGATACGTAACAAATGTAAACAACACAAATGAAAATTGAAATAAATCCCAATTCCTTCTGTGTTACGTATCAGAGGGACTATTAAGACTCGATCAATAGGAACACATGCTCCAAGCACTACTCATGTGCCTGAATATATGTACTCCCTAAGGAGTGTCGCTACCGCGAAAATAAGGTGCCGGCAAAACAGAAGAGTCACCACCTTTCGTTATTTATCCCACAGAAAGGGAAAGGAAACGATCGGAAAAACCTGAAAAAGGTATAAGACAAGGTCATCACAGCCATGTCTGGGTTCGGGAGTCGGTTACGCAAGGGGAAGGTATTAGCACCCCTCACGTCCATCGTACTCGATGGGATCCACGCTTGTTGTGTTTATTTGACGGGTTGGTTTTACTATCTACCTATCAAGGCTGGTCTGAAAAGATAAGAAAAAATGACTCGGCAAAGCGTCGCGATTTATGCCTACGTATTCTCATCAGAGAATGAGAAATCAGAGTCAACGTAGTTCGCCTAACTACGGGTTACGGGATGGGGGAAGGTGGCTCGCCAATACGTCAGCATTGTGCCTGCATACTCTCAACAGATATGAGAGATCAGAGCTTACGTAGTTCGGGATAATACGGATTACGGGGATTCAGATTCATCTGTTTTTCCGAGTAGGGTTAACAAACAGTTCCAGCAGTTTGGTGTATGCAGCTCGCTCGTCAGAGAGTCGTGTTAGAACACAGATTTGTTCTTAATAATATATCTATGTTTTGATGATAACTATTATGAAATTTTGTAATTAAGAATTATATACTCTAAAATTTGCTTAAGAATGTTTGCTGCATATATTAAAGTAAATATCACTCCAGAAGCAAATCAGATCTGAACATAAGAAATATGCAAAGCTCTGAAGTGTCAGATGCACCCATTAGAAGATTCTGAATGCTGCCATCAGATGATCCTGAGCGTAGCCTCCAGAAGGATCTGAAGCAGAAGCTCCTGAAGAATCTGAAGCAAGTCAGAAGCATCTGAACCAAAGAAGAATTATGTATGAAGAGTTCTCAAGCATAGTTACTTCAGAAGACTCTGAGAGTACTAACGCTGCCAGTACTGAGGATCTGACTCAAAACTCTGCTCTGAACTTATACACGCTAAAAGCACACTT